AATGAGACCATTGTGGAGGCCATAAACAAAGTACACATATCGCCCAAACCTCTTGGACGCTCAAGATCTAAGCGAATGAAGTGTCTCACTATTGCCCAGAGCAATGACCCCATTCTCGCCCAAACCTTTGAATCGCTCAAGGTTTGAGCGAACATGGTGTCTTGTGATTACTTAAAACAACGGTTATTGAGCAACCTTATCACATCCCACGATCCAAGAATCTCGGTTACAAGCGGTTAAACAACAAGAGCACTAATAACAGTTGCTAATGGCAGTTCCCTAACAAGTCAGCAATCACGAAGAAAGTGGGTAGTTATAGAGCGCTAGCAGTTTCCAAGCAGTTTTACAAGAGGAAATCTACAAAGGAGTATAAGGCACCGTTTGGTAATCATTATTCTAGAAAAAATGCATTTTTTGTGTCAAATCACACTTTAATTTAATATTAAATATTTAATTATAATATAATATAATTAACCTATCACACCTTCACCACCCATACTGCTTCGACGACTGTTCCGATCACCGCCCTACTCCGGCTAACTTCCGACGATCGTTCTGGCAAATATTCCGGCAACCGTTCCGACTTCGATTTTTTCCGGCGACTACTCCGATCCGGCAATTGTTCCAACTTCGGCGAATATTCCGACGACAACTCCGCTATATTTTTTTGTACGGTTGACATGTTTTTTTTACGGTCACAAATCACAAGTCACAGTCCCATGTCATAAGTCACAGCTCAGGTCACAAGTCAAAAGTCAATAGTCACAGCCCATATCACAAGTCGCAACTCAGGTCACAAGTCAAGAGTCACAAGTCACAAATCAAGTCACAAGTTAGGTCATAAGTCACAAATCAAGTCACTGGCAAAAGCCATAAGAAAATGCAGAGAGTGATGGTCTTATTGTGAAAGAGGACAGATAATCATTTGGCCAGTAAAGTGGAGGTAGGTTTCATCAACATTTGTGAGAGGCTTATTTATGTCTAACTAATATAAACTAAATCTTCTCTAACCAAACAATTAGCAAAGATAAGGAAAGAATTTGATTGAAATAACCGACAGAGTTCCATTACTGACACTAGTTTGGATACTTGACCACAAAACACCATCAACACCACCATAAGACCACAGAGAAATACCGACGCACCACCACAAATCACAGCAAAAAAAATTGTTGCGGCGGCGATATGTTATCGCCGGGTGACAGCCCCGCGACGTCGGCGGTGAGTCATCACATTCCGCTTCAGATCTCTGTATTTCTGAAAATGGACAACCGATAACAAAGCGAAGGAGTAGGCGTTTTACGATCAAAGCGATGTGCGATTGAGGCGGTGGAGTCCATCGGAGGAAGTCAGAGACGGAGAGATTTAAGGTGGGGGAGGAGAGAGAAGTCAGAGAAGGAGAGGAGAGAGAGAGGAATTGGATCTGATTTGATTTTTTAATATAATTATTAATATTAAATTTTTTAATTATAATTTGATTTTGGAAATATTAAACTTCCAATATGATTTTAGAAGTTTAAAAACTTAAAGTATGGTTTCATGTAATTACCAATTTTAATAATGTAGGTGTTGACATACAAAAAATGAAGCCTATTTAAATGGTCCAAGAATTGGAGCCCAGCTAGGGAATTCAAGCCCAAATGAGACCATTGTGGAGGCCATAAACAAAGTACTCATATTGCCCAAACCTCTTGGATGCTCAAGATCTAAGCGAATGAAGTGTCTCACTATTGCCCAGAGCAATGATCTCATTCTCGCCCAAACCTTTGAATCGCTCAAGGTTTGAGCGAACACGGTGTCTTGTGATTACTTAAAACAACGGTTATTGAAACAGTTATTGAGCAACCTTATCACATCCCACGATCCAAGAATCTCTGTTACAAGCGGTTAAACAATAAGAGCACTAACAACAGTTGCTAATGGTAGTTCCCTGACAAGTCAGCCATCACGAAGAAATTGGGTAGTTATAGAGCGCCAACAGTTTCCAAGCAGTTTTACAAGAGGAAATCTGCAAATGGGTATAAAAAGGAAAAGAAGACATAGAAGAAAAGACCCCGAATCAAACACTCTCAACAGAGAATATGTAATTTCAATTCATTTACTTTATATTTGCAAATTTTCAATTTATTTCGTGTTCTTGTGCCACTTGGAGGCTTTTTGCTTCTTTCCACTTGTAATCTTCATAAATAAAGCACTTATTTTTTAGACTTTATTTCAAGAGGTTTGTTCCTTACACAATCGTTTGAACCTTTCTTTTAATACTTTTTTTTGTGGTTGAAAATGAAAAAAAAGTTATTGATGTGATGGAAAATATTATTTTATTGATGAATGTGTGGTTGAAAATTAGTAGAAGAATGAGAATGAAAAAAAGAATGGATACCAAACAGAGGCTAAAAAGGAAAAGAAGACATAGAAGAAAAGACCCCGAATCAAACACTCTCAACAGAGAATATGTAATTTCAATTCATTTACTTTATATTTGCAAATTTTTAATTTATTTCGTGTGCTTGTGCCACTTGGAGGCTTTTTGCTTCTTTCCACTTGTAATCTTCATAAATAAAGCACTTATTTTTTAGACTTTATTTCAAGAGGTTTGTTCCTTACACAATCGTTTGAACCTTTCTTTTAATTGTTAAGAATAACTCGCGCGAAACAGTAGGTAAGAAGAAAGACTTACTGCGCATATAACCTAGTTTCGAGCATCCTTTTGAGTGCAGTGAAATCCTTTGATCCCTTACTAGATGGATTTTTTTAAAAATAACTTGATCCTATCTATTGATTTGCCTCAAAAGAAGTAAGATTCTACTTATTATGCTAACCCAGTAAAATGTTGGTAAAAAATCTCATTGAGCGCAAAACGGTAAAATGAGAAAAGCGAGTCAGAGAAATAAAAATACAGATTCAACGTTACTTGACGAACAACCAATGATCATAAAAAAAGTAAACCTTTTAAAAATATGGGTGTGTAGTAAATAATTTTATTTAAATTTGGGTGAGCAAATAGTAATCTAATATAAAGTTCAATGAGCATTGATTTAATTAACTCGATTTTGAATAGTTACCTTTTTTTATTTTATTTGATTTCATTTCACATAATAATACACATGAATTTATTCGACAGGTTTGACATTGCAAGCTAGATCACTGCCAAAAGGATGAACATGGATGCAACTACAATGAGGCCAAGCTCAAGTTGTCGAGCTCGTGGTCTAATGTGCGAGGTCTAGGGTTACGACCTTGTTATGGTACTTTCGTATTTGGAACACGTGACATGGATTTTGTGTAGGAGCTTGAATGGTAAGTAGAGGTATTACTTGAATCGTACCAGTCATTGAGGTAATTCGATATGCTTTCCTTCTTGTCTTCTTCTTCTTTACACATTTTTTTACTAAGGTGTATTAGACCTACGGAGTTGGGATTTAAAAAGTGGTAAGAGCCAAGTAAACAAAATTTGAGATGATGTTTGATGAGGTTTGTGTAGGGAATGAGACCGAATAACTTTATTTTTTCTCTCATCCTCATTGGAACAAGTAATTAAGAGATATAATGTTTTGTGTTTACTCAATAAAATAAATTGAATATACACAAATTGGGTAGATCCGTTGATTGTGTGTTTATTTGTAGATTTTACGATGTACATAAGTGTGTATGAGATAGTGTATATGAGTCAACTCATTATCAAGCAATGTTCATTCAAGGTAGACTCGATAACAAGTATATAAGTCGATTAATCATTGTCAACCTATGCTCATTCAAGTTTGACTCATTGATATATTTATTCAGCTTCCCACAGATGAACGCATCCTTCCTTGACGTCCAATAGCTAAAATGAACCCGCCTTTTAAATTGTTTAAACTTCAACAAGATTGTCTAGAAAGACTTTTATCATACAAATATTACATGAAAAATGATATACCGGTTAGCTAGGCCGGTTGGATCACTTCGCGAATCCTGGTCATCCAGCTTCCCACAGATGAACGCAGCCTTCCTTGTCGTCCAATAGCTACATTGAACCCGCCTTTTAAATTGTTTAAACTTCAACAAGATTGTCTAGAAAGACATTTATCATACAAATATTACATGTAAAATGATAAGAATCAATTGCTTAACAAAATTGAAAAGAGAGCGTGTGATGTGGGTCATGTGAGGATTTCAATAGAACTTTTTTAACTACTAGTGTATTGTACGTATAACATGATTCATAAAGCGCTAAAAGTCACAAAATTGTGAAGAAAGTATTCGACGTGGGGGGTTTAGGTAGGGAATTGAATTGAAAGTGGGGAGTACTTCGAGTCATGACGATTAATTTTTAGGTAGGCCAATACAAGATCCTCTTTTCGCTCGATGAGTCTTGAGGTTTTGTGGACTTGACAAGATAAAACCTACGACTACGATTTATAATTATTGGAAAAAAAAAGGATGATACTATACGTACATAATGCGGTGTCCATAATGGTGTCCACTACTCACATAAAGAGTGGCCCATTTCGAATAAAATATAATATATATGAAGTGAGTCCTCTCCATGTGATGAGGTGGACACCGTTACGGACGTCACATTATATACAAGTAGCATATTCAAGAAAAAAAAAATGGTATTGAGAAAGTAGAATCTCCATAAATATATTATTTTAATACGGGCTTCCAGAAGCCACATAGGGCATAGCTCGACAATCGTGTACAGCACGTTCGTTGACTTACAAGTCGAGTCGTATACAGGCCACCCGACAAATTTTGATGACTAACTGAAATGTAAAGATGGGTGGGGTCCCCATGGTGGTCGTGATAGAGAACATCCAGCCTCACCCCTATGCAACCAATCAGATTCTTGCTTTATATTTTTCTTGATGACCTCTTCACTTCACTCTTCACTCATTTCTTATCTATGAAATCAACCCCTCCACCCCACCCCCCACCCCATACATTTGTCTTCAGTACTTCATGCTCTACACCTCTTTTCTTTCCTTATGATGCCCTCTTGATCATCCTCTCTCTATCTAATGGCCACCAGTTCTTGGAATTCCATTTGCCACAAAAAACCACTCCGGCGGCGGCACTCCATTGATTGCCACCCTTCAACCGCCACCTCATATTCTTTCTTTCTCAAACCAACCACCACTTCCACCGCCACTACCCCTTCTCTCTCCCACACAACCACTTTCGCCATCTCATCAACTACCCCCACCGCTACTCCGTCCGCCAATCAAACAGTCTCCTTCGACGTCCTCCAACAGCATTTATCCTCCAGAAACTTCCGCGAAGCCGACGAAGAAACTCGCCGCCTCCTCATAGTCCTCGCTGGAGAAGCAGCCCAGAAACGCGGCTACGTTTTCTTCTCCGAAGTCCAGTTCATTCAAGAATCTGACCTCAAAACCATTGACGAATTATGGAAGCAGTACAGCGACAACAAATTTGGATACAGTGTACAGAAGAAGATTTGGGAGAAAATGAACAGGGATTTCACCAAATTCTTCATCAAAGTTGGTTGGATGAAAAAGCTTGAATCTTCAGAAGTTGAGCAATACAATTACAGGTCTTTCCCTACTGAATTCATCTGGGGAATGGATGAGAACACGCCTGAGGGTCACTTGCCATTGACAAATGCACTCAGAGGAACTCAACTACTCAGCAGCATTCTAACTCACCCAGTTTTCATTGGAAATGAAGAGGAAGAGGGAGCGGGAGATGAAAAGGAAAAAGGAGTTTCAGAAGGAAAAGGGAAGGAAAATGAAGGGTTGAAGGGACTAAGGAACAGAGTTTTCAAATCGGACTACAGCTTTTGAATCTGTCACCGAAAATTGAGAAGACATTATTATTACTACATAGAAAAAAATTGATGACTTCTGCAATTTTCTTACATTTGTAAAAGTGCTGGTAAAGTTTGATTGACTAGTCTATTTGTTTATGGCACACATTTATCAAGAAAGTGGACGACGATACCAACTTCGCACAAAATTACAAAATCAGACTGGTTTGTACTTTTGTTTGTTTTCAATCCTTTGTCTCCTTCGTGGTATTGATCATGATAAAGTATCAACATGATAGGATTAATAATATTTAAAAGTATGTTTGGCATAACTCAACTTCTTCTTTTTTTTATTTTTTATCCGAAGTTGATCAGACATTCATTTTATTCATGTACTTCGCAGGATCAATACATTACTATCCACTTATTATCTATACATTCTGTAGGATCCACAACTTATAAACACTTAAGCATACCAAACATGTTCTAAGAAAGAAATTTAGCCATATTATTGTGCATTAGGAGAAAAGTAGTTAAGGTGGACCCCGGAGAATAAGCTGTAGTTTCAAATATTGGAGTGTGTTCGTTCGTGCCTTTCGATGTCAAATGGATAGTGCTTGTCAAATGGCAACCTAAATGACTGCACTTGATATGTTCAATTAAATGAATTATTTGATATTGCATGTAAGTGATTTTATCATTTCATACTGTGCAGTTGCCATCTAGAGTAGTGCTTGATACCAATAGTGTTGAATAACATTACTCGTGCCAAATTAAGTTACGAACTTAAAATGATACGTCCTTTGAAAACATGTCGTACCAAGATTGGTCGAACCTTCTTGGCCAGTTTTAACATGGATTGTACCAAGATTGTCCTTCAGAAACGCGACTTGTAGGGCCACCCCAAAACCCTCACCATTGGGCCAATTGACCCTACTACGCATCAATGCATATGTTTGCACAAGAGATATTTCTTTATGTGTTTTGCTTGGTAATGAGAAAGGCAAATTCTTTATTTGGTTATTTGAGCAGGACATGAAATAAAAAGTAAGTAAGTTTATGGATAAATGGCTTTCTTTTCTTTCTTTTTTTAATTGATTGAAGTTGGGGAAAAATAGTAATTTACTTATTTTTTACATTAAAGTAACTACTTTAAAAATAGTTGAGTTTTTTTTTTAAATAAAAAAAATAAAGTTGATTATTCAAACATTTTTGGGTCGCTTATATGTAATCGTCATCAAAATATTGCTAACATGAAATACAATTCAAGCCATTATCTATACTTCTTTTAATTCTCGCTCTTTTGTAATGATTGTTAATTTGAATCCTGAAAAAATTTTCCTTTTTTCGATTTCTGATTCATGTACTTCAAAATAAAACAAAGAAACTATAGGTAAAGGAGATTTTGAAGCCTTTCAATTTTCAAGAACATCTTATTTGATGAATTTCACAATATATCGAGTTTCTTTATAAAATTATAAGGTCGACATCCATATACATAAATATTACTTCTAGCAAGTCGACATGAAGAAGGTTAAATATTTATCGAGCGGTAAAACTTAAATACAAGAGACCTAGAGTGTGTTTGGTAGGGATTTTTGGGAGAATAATTGATTTTTGAATAGTGATATGATGGGAAATGTGTGGTTGAAAAAGAAGAAAAAAGTATTGATGTGATGGAAAATATTATTTTATTGAAGAATGTGGTTGAAAATGAGAATTGATTAATGATTGTTAATTTGAATCCTGAAAAATTTTCTTTTTTTCGATTTCTGATTCATGTACTTCAAAATAAAACAAAGAAACTATATTTGATGAATTTCACAATAAATCGAGTTTCTTTATAAAATTATAAGGTCGACATCCATATACATAAATATTACTTCTAGCAAGTCGACATAAAGAAGGTTAAATATCTATCGCGCGGTAAAACTTAAATACAAGAGACCTCATTAACTAGTCGCAGGATTATTTTGACTTTTATAAATGAGCCCCCGTTTGACACTCATTTTATTCTCATTCTCTTTCTCATTTTTCATTTCAACCACACATCAAAATTTCTCATTACATTTTAACCACACATTCTTCTATCAATCACTATTTTAGAATATTTTTTTCTCGAAAATTGGTGTCAAATCGGGGCTGAAATTCTTAAACTTAAATCAATAATTATTGGCAAACCATCCAAAAAGAGTTTGAGCGTGTGAATATTGTGAACCCTCCACCTCTCATCTAGTTAGAAATCATGAAGGCATAGGTTTAATATAGGGAGAACTAAATTTTGATATCAATTAATGAATGAGGACTACTACCTCTATCTTCGAAGAGGCATTAAAAAATCTCATTTAAATATAAAAGATATTGAATATTTATTTACTTTTGCATTACTTTTAAACTCGAATTCGAACGTCCTTGAATAAGCATTTAAAAATAACTTTTAAGTTTAATCAAACACATTCTAAGTATAAAATTTATTTTTAAATAATTTCTTATAACAAATTAAAAATGTCTAAACCCTGTGTAGAGTCACATGTGAAAAAAGCATTTTTTTTTTATTAAAAAGAACACTTTTCAACATTATGCCCATGCTTTGTGTGTTTTGTGTTGGAATATTACACCCATGTTTGATTAACCTATAAAACTAGGTTTTATATTAAATCAGACGATATTTAATTTTAACCGTATATTTTATGAGATTCACAATTTTTCAACTAAATATTCTATAATTTTTTTTTTATCAAAACCTATTAAAAATCTCGTTTTTATCAGCACCAAATAGGGAATGTTTGAAGACCCGATTGTGTAATTGTAGACGAAAAAAGAGACGACATAATTTATAATTGGATCCCATTTGCACAATTGATCTCTAGCATGTAATACAAAAAATTCCATAAACACTTCTCTTTTACCTTGAAAGTACCAATTTTTCGTGTTATGTAATTATTATAGACATATTATCAATATCGACACAATTTTCAAGTGGAAATAAACTATTAATCAACCTCAATACTACTTTAATTCTTTTATCCCACCATCGATACATTCATGTTATAAATACACTACGTGCAATCCACTACTATTGTATATAAAGTATAGCTCATTTTATCTCAATTTCTTTGTAAAATCATTAGTTTGGTCGAGCATTAATTTAGTTTAGCCAAATTCGGTTAATTAAGCAATTTTTATTAGTTTCTAAACTCGATAAGGGAAAGTTAAACATGAATTCGGAGCATCAGTTTCAGGGGCTGAGCCCAATAGAGTCCTGCCTGCACTGAACTTTGAGCCTAGTCCAATTCATTTTTTGAGTTTGGGCTTTTGAATTGATTCAGCCCAAGATAAAAATTTGAAGCCCAACAGTAAGCCCAGTTCCCCAAATCAAAATATACCTTTCATCTCTCTCGTTCAGGCGTCTGACAATCCGACTTCAAGCAAGAAGGCAAACGTGAAACGCCCAATTTACGCCAACAGCGTCTTGTTCAATTTCATCTGCTCCCTTTACTTCAACGTCTTCTCCACCGCCGGCGGCAATAGGGTAAGTAATTTACTTTTTTCTCTTCAGGACTTGGGTTCAATTGGAAAGTAATTGGACTGCGTTTGGGTTTCAAATTAGAATATCGGCTATAAATCCTGAAATATCAAAACCTAACATTTCATCCCTTCTTTCGCTCGAAGGACGACGACTGTCAAAGTCTCCGTCGACTGACTGCTCGCCTTTTGTACGGTACCAGCACTCAGGGTCAGAGAACCATCAGCAGAAGAAGGTATAAGTGCTGATTTGATTTTCTACCAATTAGTATTTGGTTGCACATTTAGGATTAATCTGTTTGGCGGAAAGCAGAGAGAAATATACTGTAAATTAAGAATGGATTATAATTTATTATATGTTCATTTGATGGGATCGTAAGGTTTTAAAATATAATCAATTGAAGATATACAAGAAATTCTAAACCAAACGGAAAACAGCATGAATTTGTGGCGTCGCAAATGCATTTCTGACATTTTTGGTGTGGTAGTTATGATCTTAAACGAAGACTTCTTTTATTGAATTGGTGTGGTAGTTATGTTCTCTTGATTTTAGGACTCTTTTGGTGGTACCACGGGTGGGATTCTTTGATCTAGTTTTTTATTTGCTGGGTTATGTGAATTTTAGGACGTATAATCTGGTAAACTAAAGCGATTTTGATCTTTTTAGCTAATCTCATGATTTTTTAGAAGGAAAGAGTTTTGAACATTCATATCTTCTGCTTGGTCTCTGTAAAATCATGTAGATATTCTGTCTTTCCATGTTATTCATCATTATCTATATGTTTATTTTTTCTCTTGATTGGGATTTTTTATTGTTAATTGAGTAATTCAATAAAATAATCGATCAATTGTCCTTCTATAATAGATTACTGACTAATTAACAAGCTGTACATTTTATACTATTGGTGTTACCTTGCTTGAACTCCTGTCCTTCTATAATAGATTACTGTCTAATTAACAAGCTATACATTTTATACTATTGGTATTACCTTGCTCAAACTCCTGTCATTCAAGTATTTATATAGATGATTTAACATCTCTTTTAACATGATTTTTCTTTATATTAAACTTGCCTCACCTTGCCTCATCCATATGTCCTCCTTGCAGTATTTGTGGTTTAGATTTCTCTGCATCTCATGTTAATTGTTGGCCATATTTTTTGGATGACAGCTTACTCTGTCATTCTAATCATCTTGTTCTGACAGCAATATAAATACATAATTGGCATATTTAGGATTAATTGGCATGTTTAGAAATACCAATTGCTGTCTCTCTGAGTTGCACATTTAGGATTAATGTGTAACTTGGATTTCTTATTCGTGTTTGATTCGGCCGTTAATTGTTTTTAATCTTCCCTAAGTTGTTTATTTGAATTGGCCATAACATATCTTTCGGTACTATCATGCCATGATGTCTGAAATTTTATTTGGTTTATGGCATTGAGTTACTCCTAAGTACAGATATAGAATTTTATTTGAATTTGCTATTACATATCTTTCGGTCGTATCGTTTTATATATTACCATCGAAAACTCGTAGTCTGATTAAATTCTGCCCGCCGTGGACAATATTCCTAGCTCCGCCCCTTCATTTTAGTACTTGTTTATAATCAAGGTAGACGTACAACTACAAGATGGAGGTTGGTTTGTTAAAAAATTTAACCCTACACCTGACACAGTAATGATTAAATTTTAAACGTAAAGTAATTGTCGTTGAATCGATCGAATCCTACTAGCCGGCTAGGGATGGTAAACAATCTCGACGGGATATTCCTCATCTTGAATTCCTTGAAACTGCCCCAAATCTATTTAAATATTATTTATAATTTTAAAATATAATTGTATGTAAAAAATAAAAAAATAAACTTTACAAAATGAATAATTAATTTAACTGTGCCGTAAATGAGATATTTTAAGTTTTATTCATGTCCTGTCCCAACCACATGGGGGTGGGATGGAGAGGGACCGCCAAGACCCTCTGCATTCATATTGCTGGCCTCCTGTTTTAATTTTGTGGAACATTCTTACTGTATAATATAGATGAAAATTAGGGTTATTTTAGAACGAACGATTTGGAACTTCTTGACTGAAAGTGAGGTTTTGACTTTTTCTCGAAAAATTATGTAATATCTTATTTTGAATATATGTAATTTCAACATGTAACATTGCATTTGGATACCACTAGAGGGGTGATGAATGTAGCATTATTTGACTTTAGGTATTAAATGGATCGCAAAAATATTTTCATAACCAATTTGAAATTCACTTGAACTTTAGTCACCATTTCTGAAATTAACTCTCAATAAATCTGACAAGTCAAATGGAACGAAGCACTAAACCCTCAATTTATCTTTCTCACTGTAATCAGTAATCTTTTCGATCTGAGAAAAATGATGAATGCTCCGTCTCCACATGATGATGAGGAGGTTCATGGCGGCGAGGAGGTGTTTCTCGACGAAGGAGATATTATTCAAGAGTACACCGTTGATGAAGAAGGTATATATTTATATTGATTATTGTTAATTTGTTATGTGAGGCTATCATCTAAAAGATTTGGTGTAATTGGATTTCTCTGTTTGAATCATTGAATGAATAGAAAAGGAATAAAAAGAAGGCAAAAATTGCAAGTATCATCCAGAACTGGCTGCCAAATATTCCTTTAGATTTTTAAGATGCTAGGAATAAACTATGTAATTAACCAGGGGGTGGGGTTGGAGAGTGCTCTTCTTACCTACTAGCTGACGAAAGTGTTGGACCTTATTCTTTAAACACTGCAATGTATTTTCTAATTGCAGTGCGTGTTTTTTGTGTTTTCACTTGTTTGCCGGTCTAATTGACTTCTCATGGCTTCAGATCTTCCAGATGCCGATGAAGAGGAAGGCTCTGATACCGAAGAAGTTATTGGTAGGTTTACTTCTATTATAGTTTCAGTGCACTATGCATATCATTTCTATTAGTTGAGTACCAGTTCTTGAGCCTGGGACTCGGTTGTGTTCCAAATCGACTCGGACAAGAACAATTGGTTACTTCTTTTTATGTTATGGAAATGAATTGTTCACCTATTGCTTAAACTAATTTTTCTACATTGCTCATGCTCCCATCTGATTACGATCATGTGAATTAGATGCTTCAAATGCAATAATATTTTCTGTCGGTAATTTTACTTTCTTTTCATGAGCATTTAAGTGCTTTTAGGCTATGCGTATACTTGAGCATTCTATACGAACCAAAAAGAGGAAGAGGGGTCTTATGTAAGCTAGAATTGACTTGGTGTATCTGTGGTTTTGGAAATGTTAGTCCAATGTACTGAAAAATCTATCAGGCACATGTATCTATGTAACTTTAAATATCATTTTCTATCATTTTTACTGTGTTAAAAATTTAACTAGAACTGTTAACGTGAGACTCTACCGGCACTATTATTTTCCTTTGGGTTGGTGTGATTGGATTTATGTTCTACAGTATATTTGCTAATCTAAAGAAAATAATTTACTAATATCATCTTACTCTTTTATGATATGATGGTTGCAGACGGGGAAGATGATTCTACACACACATTCACCGGCCATACAGGTGAACTTTATTTGTATTTTAGGTTGCGTGTGATATTTTGGGTTAAAGCCTACTTATAGACTCATAGTTGGAGAGCTATGCTGAATTTACAAAGTATGTGATGAATTTATTCCAAAGTTAACTAATAGAGTTCATTTGGAAAATGTATATCTCCAGTGTGGGCCGAGCCAAGCTCGCTTGGCTCTTAAACACTTGAGCTTGGCTTGTGTGGAAATCCTAGGCTCAGCTTAGACCTTTGGCTTGTGGGCCTCATGGTCGAGTCGGCTCCTTTTTCTTAAAAAGAATAAAAAAAATTAACAAAATAAGCCCCAAAACAAGCAAATTATTTTTAAAGAAATTAATAAAGTAAGCCAAAAAAAAAAGGCAAAAAAAATGAGCCGGCCCACGAGCCCGCTCGTCTTGTGGGAAAAAAGTAAGCTCGGCTCAGCCCATGACTTGTCTCAAAACAACCATGAACCGCCCATAGGCTGAACCCTGCGAGTTGGCTAGAGGCTCGGCCCATTTTGCAACCCCTAATCTCTAGGCAAAAGAAAAAACTTGATAAAAGGATATCACAATTTTTATGGCAATGTTATAAAAACAAAGGGATAGACAATAAAGTGAGTAAAATTGATGGGATGTTTTGATCCAGGCACCATCTTCCTTGGTAACGTTCACTATATGCTGGACAATAAATATTTGATCTATTATTAGGGAATCGTCATAGTTACATGCTAATTGCTGACATCAATGAGAATTGTATCTGTGCCAGCTTGATTCTTTGAAGTCCCTTGATAGTCTGCTTCTTTATCTTCTGATAAAAAACAGTTATGGAACAATAATTTGATGGAAGTTATCCAAATAAGCTGTCTTCCAAAACGTTCAGATAGAATTTTGTGGTGGTGAAATGAAACCAAAAATGTGTTGATATGTGCAACTAAAAGAAAAATCTTCCAAAACTTGTGCCTTGGGGAGTGAAGAAAGGTCCACAATTCAGTGTTCTGGGCAAAGGGAGAAATCTCGAGTCATGAATCTTCTTTTATACATTTTTATTGCTTGCATTGCTATGATTTTTTTGAACTTTGTCACTAATTTTTCACCATATATTGGAAACATATAATATTTGGACACTGTTAATTATCCAGTTCATAGCAGCCTGCTTGACCTTTACACTTGTAATGACTTTTAATAACACTGAACGCTATTAATCTGTAATTGTATTGGTGAAGATCTATTTTTACGCCTAGGAGGAGAAAAATGTCTCATGGTGTGTGTGGCCGCAGTTATTTCTCCTTGTCTCGGATTACATTTTAGCTAATAACCCATCGTATATTGCTAAATTTTGCAATGATATTGCACAACAGTAATGAGAATGTTGTTCAAATAATTGCTACGTTGCTTCTAGGTGAATTGTACACCGTTGCCTGTAGCCCAACAGATGCTACACTAGTGGCAACTGGGGGTGGAGATGATAGGGGATTCCTCTGGAAAATTAATCAAGGTGACTGGGCTTTTGAGTTACAAGGTACGGAATTGACCTCTACTAAAGTAGTTAAGAGCTTTACATTGCAACTATCTGAGTTAGTATCTTAGTGTTACAATTATTATTTCCCTAAGGTCCTAACAAAGTGCCAAGAAGCCAGCTAGGGGATTGTATTTCTAAACCCCAAACAAGAATTTGTAAAGATCGTGTACAATGCTCAGGCCTGGCTCTAACAAAATAGTATAATTATATAAATGAAAATATTACAGCTGCTGCTGCTGCTTATATAACAATGATGATGATAATAATACTAGTAGTACTATTATTTTAGAATAATACATAACAAGAATGATAAGAAGTAGTAATCAAAATACCTGTCATTTAAGTGCATTTCATTTACTTCTTTGATATTTGTGCCTCTCAAACATCCTCATGCAGGTCACCAGGATTCTGTATCTAGTTTAGCGTTTAGTACCGATGGACAATTGCTTGCCTCTGGAGGCTTTGATGGACTTGTCAAAGTATGGGATATATCTAAAGGAGATATAAAATGCACGCTTGATGGTCCTTCAGGGGGCATTGAGGTGATATTTGACCATTGATCTTTTGGTGACTGATAGCATTATCTGGTCATATATGTTGTCTAAACTGTGAAACTGTTCAGTGGGTTAGATGGCATCCAAGAGGACATTTGATCTTGGCTGGTTCAGAGGATTCTACTGTTTGGATGTGGAACGCTGACAGGAGTGCTTATCTCAATATGTTCTCCGGTCATGGAAGTACTGTAACATGTGGTGATTTTACGCCCGATGGTACTTACCTTCCATTTCTGAGAAAAATCTGTTGGCCTACTTTTGGGCCATATTTTATTAATTTATTCTTTGCACATTTTATTGTCGTTTTCTGACATTTTCATTCTGAAGGTAAAGTAATTTGTACTGGTTCGGATGATGCAACTATGAGAATTTGGAATCCCAAAACTGGAGAAAACATCCATGTTGTTAGAGGTATCTTTCTGAATTTCTCTTCAATGTCTTCGTAGTTGTATTTTTTTCCCCAGACTTTCAGACATGAATATGTTGCTGTTGCTATTCCGTGCCGGGCTCACTTCCCGTGCTTGATATCCTAGAAGATCTTGGCCACAAGATTTCAAGTTCTTTTTTTTCAAATTAAAATTTTGGCGGGTTTGGTTTCAAGACAGTAATTATTCTTCAATCCCACAAGACTAATTAGTTCTTGAGAGATCTTCATGTCTTCAATACCTCGACACTAAGTAATCAATTTCATTATTCTGGACAAATTTGAAAGCTCAAGTGTAAAGAATATCAAGATTTTATTTTTTATTATTTTTTTAATTCTCAAGGAGTGCAAATACCAGTGATTTAGATGTATCGTGTTGCAACACTTGAGACTCGACGACGAGTTTTTGAGTGACAGTCCTTGCTTTAGTAGGAGTAATCAATCAGGTTAATAATTGATTGCATAACCCCTCTCCTTGTCTTCTCCTCACACTCGCAACTGGACATGAATAAAAAATGATGACAAGTCATTCTCTCTTGTTTGAATCATCACTTTCTTACATATAGTGGTCTAGATGCAATATGTTTGGCCGTAGTAGTTTTTATATTACTGTGCTCCATTGATGAGTGATGATGCTCTCTATTTCAAGGTCATCCTTATCATAATGAAGGCCTTACATGCTTGGCAATAAGCTCTGACTCTGCCCTTGCTCTTACTGGTTCAAAGGACGGCTCTGTTCATGCTGTCAATATATCAACTGGGAAGGTGTAAAATCCTTTTCACTTGTTTTCAATTTTTCTGATTCTATGTATTATTCTGTTAGAATGTTTATACTGCCGACCTTAAAAGGATATATTTATTGGCTAATTGAATAAATGATCTGGCTATTTCCCAATTCGCAGGTTGTCAGTTCTCTTAGTGCACATTCAGATTCGATTGAGTGTATTGGTTTTGCAGTAAGGTGTGACCAGCTAGCATATTTCTGTTTCTTTCACCACACTTTTTTTATTTTTGCTTCATTTAGTAGTGGTCAAGAAAGGAGACAGATGGAACTGTAATCATGACTAGATTTTTCGGATACACAAGCATATAGCTCTTTCTATTATATTGAATGTTTCATGGTCTCTAAATCCACTTATTTAGTCTAAAATTTCCTTACAGCTCTCCTTTGGCTGCCACGGGAGGCATGGACAAGAAGCTTATAATATGGGATATGCAACATTCATCTCCACGGTGCACATGTGACCATGAGGTTTAACTATTTTCTATTTTCTTCTGTGTATTTTTTCATTTTTTGTTTATTGAACTTTTAGAATTAAAAATGGGAAATGACTTGACCAGTCCGACAACCATCTGGTTGCTGTCTTCAAAGGTCAGGTCTTGGACCTAAGAAATGGCATTAGACATCACTACCAAACATCTCAGGGTATTTCCATGTCAAATATGGCTTGATATATTTCTTATGGCAGGACGGGGTGGCAAGTTTGATGTGGCTACCTGGGTCTAGACATATAGCTACAGGCTGTGTTGACGGGAAAGTACGGTTATGGGATAGTCTCTCTGGAGAATGTGTGAAAATCTTTAGTGGGCACTCAGATGCCATTCAGTCTGTTGCTGTATCTGCCAACGGAGATTTCCTAGTTTCAGTTTCACTCGATGGAACTGCTCGAGCATTTGAAATCGCAGAGTTCAGGTAAAAACTCAAAAACATACAAGCATAACTTTGAGTTGCTGAATTTTCTCCAAGGTGTGGTTTTTTTTTCTGGGAAGCTATAATTTGTATTTAATTTCAAGCTACAGTATGTTATGATGTAGAAAACCTCGTAAACTTGTACTTAATTTTTTTTTCCTTTTTTGGAGGTTATGTATGTTAAATGTTTGGAAGTCGAGCAAAATTTTTTGTTTGAAGAATTCATAATTGTGGACAATGTAGCAATAGGCAGCACGTCTCTGATCTTCCACAAGAGCTCACATTTCTGGGAAGGTTTGGCATCTCGATATTGTCTCGTTGCCAGTTGGGGTTGTAGTTTGACCTCTTCATTCCATAAGTAGTTCTGATACAGAGCTTACTCAACCT